CTTTTTATCCTCATTTAACTTCAATAAATTATATTGATGACAAAAGCTAATTGAAGATGATCAGATGAGTAATTAAAATTATATTTTGAACTTAAAATTATAAACACTTCAAGCAAACAAATAATAATTGTAGCATGTGTAATACAAACGAAACAGAAGATCTCTATCACTTCCTGGCTGCTTGTCCGATACTCTCTGAATTTAGAATTAAATGGTTAAAGTCTAGAAATTTATCTCGGGATCAAGTAATTGATTTATTAAATGGAAACAATTGGATAGCATTGGTAAATTACTGCAAGTCTGCTTTCTCCTATAGAATAATGCTCACCAGAGAATTTAATAATTAATAAATTGGAGAATTTTGGTACCACTGTTTTTGTAATTAAAATATTTGTATAACTTTTACATTGTAAATATAATTGTTCTTATTTTCCTATTAATTATTTGTATATAAATAGACTGAAATATAATTTTGTTATAAAACACAGACTCCTCTGACGGTCAACAGACCATGTAGCACGTCTGATTTTCGGTTTTAAATCCAAAAATATTATTTTGTATTGTTTTGTAATTTTGATAAATAAGAAGATTTTTTCTTCTTCTTCTATAGAAGTAATAGCTGAGACGGAGTACACCTAGTTTCAGTCGCAGATTAACAGCGGGTATTTAAAAACAATCGACCACCATTTTCACAACTTTCTAAAGACAGGCCTCCTAGAGCGGTATTTAAAGGTCTGCGCAACTCCACAGCCATCTCAATAATAAAAGAGGAATTATTTAAGAAAGGTTACAGAGCTGTTAGCGTTCTCTCACAGCACAGTTCCCAGCAATGATGAACATGTTTCACCAACAGCTTCACGTGTTTCTTCAGTCTTCAAGAAACTTTATCGTGGATCCAATTTGTGACTTGGATATTCAGTACCTGTACAACTGTACACGCGAAGTGGGTACCTGACTACCTAAATCCGACTTTACACGTTTCCCAAATGCGGCAAAGTCAAAAAATCTTGACAAAATAAGAAACAAACGGTATGATGGTGGAGGTATAGACTTTATTCGTAATAATATAAAATACTATACCATAATGAAATCTCTCATATTAGATAGGTCTTAATGCATTCGACGTATGATAGACATCAGTGAAACATGTTTATTCATAGATCTAATATAAAATCATTAAGATACGTTTATTCAAGACATTCAGTCGGTGAAGGTTCAAACTTTATCACGGATATTAAATTGACAATTCACTTAATTAACAATAATTAATTAATTATATAATTATATCAAATAATTAATTAAACAATAGGTGCTTAACTTGTCAAACTGAAAAATATTTCTTCGTTTAAATAGTTAACTAATACAGGCACAGCTATTCCTTAATTTATACTAATCCAGAGGTATCTAGAAGAGGTTTTATGGCGCAAGGTGCGCTATTAGAATTTTTGAAACGGGCACATTTTGACAGAGATTTGTATTTTTGAGGGAAACACACTTCAACAGGTTTGAATTTTCGGAATAAAAAGTTTTAACCAGGGAAAAATGGAAAAACATTGACGATACCACAATGGGAGGGCAGAGTGACCGAATGAACTAGCGTGTGTGCACAGAATGATATGATTTGATAAAATAAGTATAAGTTCGCCTCCCGGAGGCGGGGAGGGGGAGATTTTAACTCTGGCATTAATCCCCCGCCCTTACCCTCTGGCCCGGGAAAACCCCCGTAAATCCTAAAAGGCGAGGAAGGAGAAGAAGAAAAAAAGGACAATTTAATTTTAATTTTTTTTCTAAATATTCTTTCGCTTGCATTGTATTTAAGAACAGAGAGCAATACAATTTCGTGGAAAGATAGGATTGGCGGAGATTTATGCGCAATCGACCTAAGGGTCGATTAGTACCGCTGTACTAATCAATAATTCATGCAGAAGATTCATTTGTTGTTCACTCAATTACCAAGAGTGTAGAAGTTTATTTCTGAAAGTATAGAGCAATGCATGGAATTGAATTACAGAAAATGGTGTTTCATTAATCAGTTTTTTAACACAAATAAACTAAACAATAATAATAACACTCGAATCAACGTTGCAAATAAGGTTACCTTCCTGATACACCTAACGGAAAAATATTTCAACAACTCCGACTTCGAATAATCGTGTATAAGGATCCATAAACTCTGTGGTGATCTCTCCTGGTGGTTAAAAACTAAAGTACTTAACTACAATTTCTATAACGAATCCTTGGTCCAAGAATTTCATCATGTAAAACAGAGTTGACATAGTGTCCATCCGAACATTTAGGTACAAGCAAGGTACATATATATTCAAGATAAAAGTAAAATTTGTGTCAAAAGTGAACCGAGAATTGAAGATTTTCAATTGAGCCAACTATGGAGGTGTAACCACAGGCTTTTACTGCGAAGATACTTAATATTGGGACAGACCGCATGTTCCTTCGTTTTCTAAAGCTTTTAGAAATGGCTGCTAAAATGTTAATAACAAATAACCACTAAAGTACGAGTTGACACCATGAACCATTTTATTTATACCCGGATGTACCCAATTGTTGCCTATATGAATCATAAAGCCGCGTTAACACCTCAAAATTATGGGGAACACGAGCGTGTAAAAGGGATGCTTCTCTAGGTTTGTATTGTAAAGAAAGCTTAAGGAATATGTCAAATAAACGCTAGAATCGCTTGATATTTCAAAAAATAAAGGTGTTTATTGTTTTGATTTTTCTTTTTAAAATAAAATTAGCTTAAACCAAATTTTAATTTGAAATATTTCTCTGTAATAGCAAACTGTTATCTCGCCCATCACCGCGTTTGTAGGTTTCTTTTTAATTTTTTTGATTGAGAAATATGAAGCCGCTTTAAAACGTAATACATTGTACGCAATATTACTAAAAATAATGACCTTGTAAAAAAACAATTTAGGAAAGTTTTGATGGATTTCTTCCGATGCCATCGACAAGTTAAGGATCTCGCTCTTACATTCTTCACTTTTCTACATTATGTTTTATTTAAAAAGTAAACTTTGTATTTTATTTTTTTAAATTTAATTTAACACGTTTTGAATTATATTATTTTAGTTATTTCTATTTTCCTCCCCCCCTCCCATGTAGTCAACTGTTCAATGTAAGCTTCCTTAGCTGTTGTTAATTGAACCTTGTCTTTCCTTCAGTGTATATTTGGATGGCTTCTTGAGATCAGTGTTGCCTTTCGTACGAGGATCTGGTATTTGAAAGGTATTTAAACTGTTTTACCAACGTGATTTTTCTGTATTTAGTCTCGATTTTTTCCTTTTTCCATATGATATTTTCAAGTCGACTCTTTCTCCTATTTTCTTCAGTTCATTTATCTGATTAATTCTCTTGTTCACTTTACGTTATAAGTGCTAGATCATCCAGATGCTAGAAAGCCAAGCACCTCATTTATCTCTCTCTATCTCTCTCTCTCTATCTATATATATATATATATATATATATATATATATATATATCATATTATTAATACCGTCTCGTAGATGTTTTCACTTCTATCGTGTGGTCTTAAGCATACACCGTAGTTTTCTTTTTCTATGTAAATAATAATAATGAATAATTATTATATGAACATGTTTTAATTGTTTATTTATATTTTTATTCCAAATCTGAAGATATAGATTTTTTTTTCTTTTTTTTTCTTACCCTTCAAAATTTTTACTGAAACAATTTACATATGTAGTATACAATAATACAATATATACATGTAACAAATTCCTTCCACTGCCCGAGGGCATTTTAAGGATTGGGGGATAGCTAATCTTGAAGATATAGTCTGTTAGGAAAGGCGAGTTTTATTCAATTTAGGCAGGATGAAAAGAGCGAGAATGTAATTATTACCGGGTTACTAAATGTTATTACTAAATGCCAAGAAATAACAATCTCCAATCTTTTGTAATTTTAATTTCATAATAACACATAAAATATTATAATTTTAAAATTATTATCTAACAGTTTATACAGCTGATATCCCAACCCATCCTAACACAGTCATCACCACGTATGCCGATGACACATGTGTCCTATCCGTTAATAACGATCCAACAATTGCATCCCAAACCCTTCAATCACACATCACAAACCTTGAAGAATGGTGTCAAAAGTGGAGAATAAAAATAAATTCCAATAAATCCCATCAAATCACCATTACCCTTCGTCGTAAACCTATGACCTCTTGTCCTATAGTATCCTTTAATAATACCCCGCTTATCCCTATTGAACAAATTCGATACCTTGGACTCCACTTAGACAAACGTCTAACTTGGAATCCTCATACCAGACTGAAACGACAAGAAACCGCTCGACGTTTCCGACTACTCCAACACTTACTAGACAAACGCTCTAAGCTTCCAGTTAATCACAAAAGACTTATATACATGACTATAATAAGGCCTATTTGGACTTACGGAGTTGAGCTTTGGGGCTCCACTAAGCCATCGAATTCCTTTCGTATCCACTCCTTACAATCCAAAATCCTTCGTAAAATCCTCACTGCTCCTTACTTTGTCACAAACAAAATCATCCATAACGACCTTAATGTTCCTTATGTTTCTAACCTGGCCCAATCCAGATACCTATACTTCCATAATAAACTTCAGAACCATCCAAACCCTCTCGTTTCTAACCTTGCTTCCTCTTCGATCCCTGACAACCCTCAGAGGCGTCTGAAAAGAAGATGGCCTCGAGATCTCCTTTTGTAAATACATTTTTAGAGTGCTACCAATGGGTAGTTTCTCAACATGTGATTTCATGCTATTTTATTCCTTTGTTCACATTTACTGAATGTATTTTTACTTGTAATACAGTTGTAAATATCATCAATAAAAATAAATAAATAAATAAATTATCTAATATTTCTTCTATTGCAATAATAAATGATTTATTTGAATAGTTTATTGATTTAAGCTAGATGATTATATAATATTAAAAACTAAAATATGATATAAGATTGGACTCACCCTTGCTTGGCCGCCTTGAGGAACACCTCGAAGTCCTGCGGCGAAGTGGACAACGCTTCGCAGAGCTTTCTCAAACCACACGGTCCGAGGCTGCCCTGCTGAAGAGATCGATGGCCAGGGTTCTTCGCGGTGCCTTCAGATCTGTTGGAGACGACCGACTTGGATTAATAAAGAAAATGTTATCTAATATAATAACATACCACATGTTATAACATATCGTCGACCCTATATTAACTTAACGAATGTTAAAATCGACCTGATCGCAGGCGAAGGTTTGATTGTAAATTACGAAAGTGTATGTAATTCTGAGTAACAAGAACCATGTCTGCCGTTCCAGAGCCGCTGCTTTCAAACATGGCGGCTGAATTAAAGAATATTAGGCCAGTAATTTGAGGATCGAAACGGGAAATCCATTGCGAAAAATGTGAGAAAAGTTTTTATTTTTTTAACTTTTATATATGGGTTTAGACATTGCTAAAGCGGGTCACCAAGGGAAAACTTTTTACACCCAAAAAATTCAGATTTTTCACCTCTAACTCCTCAATGCCTCAAAGCGAAAAATGGAATTTTTAAGAAATTAAAAAACGTTAAATTTTGCTTCAAATAAGTACATAAACTTTAAAATTTGGTTACGCGGTAAGGTATAAAACCACGGTCAACCAACGCTGAGTTTTACCAAATTTGCCCAAAACTGAGAAAAATTACTATAAATGGCCCTGTAACTTGGAAATGAGTCCCTTAAGAGAAAAAATCCATAGTATCAAAGTTGTAAAACATCAAATTTCGCGTATACTCAGTATCAACTAACTTAATGTAGGTCACTTTCTGCGAACAAACCCGGTAATCTCCCGATGGTTAGAAATTGGTAATGAAGGTAAACGTGATTTTCAATATTTCAACAGTATGGGTGTCTATTCTACTAAGTTAGTTTTGTGTAAAGTCTGTTACATGCAATATAAGCCTCTTTTCTACCTCTCAACAGCAAAAGATTTTGGTAAACGATGTGTCGAAAGATACCGAATTTTATAAAGGAATAACGAATCCCGATTCGAGATATATAATTGGCCAACAATAAAAATGTCAGTACTCAGTATACGCAAAATTTGATGCTCTACAACTTTGATTCTATTGGTTTTTCCTCTTAGAGAACTCATTTCCAAGTTACAGGGCCATTTATAGTAATTTTTCTCAGTTTTTGGAAAATTTGGTAAAAATCAGCGTTGGTTGACCGTGGTTTTATACCTTACCGCGTAACCAAATTTTAAAGTTTATGTACTCATTTAAAGCATAATATTAATATTAATCAATTAAAGCATAATAATAACGTTCTTTAATTTATTAAAAAATACATTTTTCGCTTTGGGGCATTGTTTAGGAGTTATAGGTGAAAACCCCAAAAAGTATCCATAAATCTGACTTTTTTGGCTGTTAAAAGTTTTCCCTTGTTGGCCCGCTTTAACAATTTTATTTTTTACGTGTCTAAACCCATATATAAAAGTTAAAAAAATAAAAACTTTTCTCACATTTTTCGCAATGGAATTCACGTTTCGAGCCTAATATTCTTTAAATCAGACGCTATAATTTATATTTTTGAAAGCAGCGACTCTGGAACGGCAGACAAGTTTTTTTTTATTCATAATAACATACGCTTTCGTAATTTACAATCAATCATTCGCCTGCGATCAGGTCGATTTTTGGGCCCTGGCTCCAGGGCTACAACGTTACTTGCACAATTTGCCGACGATATTAATGGTTTATTGCAATTCAGTGACTTTTATTATTGATAACTTTTCCTCAGTAAAATCAGAAAATTTTGCGCTTGTGGTATGTTTCATATTTAAAAGAATTTGTGTCATTTATATTTTTATCATTTTATTTTAGTGTTGGTATTATTCTAGTATTTAAAAAATGTAGGTAAAAGCTCTGTGACTTTTTGAAATCGACGATATTATGTTAGTTTATATCGATGGTTTAAAATATGTTATTTCTGTTTAGCCATTAATAAATAACTATAATAATAATTATTATAAAATATTTTACATATATAAGAGAAAAAAAAAAGATATATTTAGATCTTGAAAGAAACATTTTATTCTACTTAAAGAAACACAATTGTACCATAAAATACCTATAAGTATAATAATTAATGCAATACATGAAAAGAGACAATAAATTATCTATACACCATATTACTTATTAATATATATATATATATATATATATATATATATATATATATATATATTATAACATTTTAGCAACCTCCAAATATAATTGTGAATTTATATATTCTTGAAGATAAATTAAAAATATCACCATAGCTCAAGGGCGAAATAACCAAGTTGTTAATCGCCTAACTCGTAACTTAGCCTAACCTATAAGACAGTTAGATAGCAGTAGAGAATCTCTGCTTTCATTTTGAAATTAGTCTTTGGTTATGACGCGGCGCGAATCTTACTGCAAAGTTCGCGGCGGAACACAGCCATTGATGTCACAGGTGAAACGGCAATTCGTCGGTGGAAAGAAAGTTATTCGAAGCTACGAATACTTGGCACCCTCTTCATACCGCTCAGCTGTCATCCTCTTGATGTTTTTCCTACATTTTCTAAAAATGCTCCAGGAGAAAGTTAAGCAAACCGTCCAAGTTTTCGAAGAAAATTAACAATGGTAATATTTCGTTGATCTTAGAGGTAATGTCAAAAAAGCAAAAATAGTCTAAAACTTTTAATGTTTCTCGAAGTTTCTTCATCAGGGCTAAGCCAAAATAAGCCTTGAAAGTATAAAGCAAACAAAGAATAAATATAGATATAGAAAACTCATGAACACCCATTTGCTTTCCACTTGAATCGTAAGATAATTTGATCACTAAATCGAGAAAAAAATATCGCCTACAAAAATATTCGGCCGTTTTGTGAGACTTCCATTCCTAACATGTCAAAATAACAAGGTTATATAGGCCAAAAGGACCAATATTTTTTTCGTTTTGATGATCAGACTATCGTATGATTCAAGTATAAAATAAATGAGTTTTCAGTGCTTCATAAAGTTAATTAATTTAATGAGAAAACGCCCCATTTCTGAGAATTTTCGAAGATAAAAAAATTTGTAGGTTACGATAAAACGAAGCCATTCTAATCAAGTAAATATAGGCGAAAAAAACTGGGCCGATATCAAGAAAATTCATAATTGGCTCTAAATGTGGAGATTAGTTCCTTATGGAATGCAGAACAAACCATGAAAAGTCCCCTCAAATGCCCACGTCAGCTTTCATCCAAAATAAAGGGTCAAATCTAGCACTTCTTATGTGTTATGGACACAATATTTAGATTATATAAAAATTTCAGCCGTTAGTTCTTCCAATAATTAAAACGTCGAATTTCATCACTTTAATTTAAATTTTCGTATAGAGAGCAACAGTTTTCCACCGACTGACTGAAGTTTTGAGTTCAGATGAGACTTATCCAAAGTTAAAAATGGTTCTAAACGGTAAGTCCTTCAATTAGATGAAATGGTGCGTAGCTTCAAGTCTATAACTAGGCATCCAGTCCGAATAGTTCGCGATGGAATTCAGCTTTGAGATCGCGTTATTTTTATTAAAAATTACTTATTTTTCAGCAAATTTTTTTTTTCAGCAAAACCAATTTTTTTAACATTTCTCTTACTTAGGAATAAAAAAAAAATATGCGAAACATTACTTCCTATTTGTCAATAAGTTATGAGAGGTGACATAATTAGAATCAAGAAAATTTCGCATTATTGGTGCCAATTTACAGCTAGTTTACCATTTTTTTTATCTTCGAACTTAGATGGAATCTAAAACAAGCATCCTTGCCTATATCACTAGTACCTATGACGTTCAAGAACGATGGTTTTTGACGAAGATATGAAGAAAAAAATAAGACAGAAAGTGCTAGGTAGGTATCCTTCATTTTGGATGGAAGCGGAAATGGGATTTGCGTGGACTTTTCATGGTTTGTTCTGCATTCGATAACGAGTAAATCCCCACATTTACAACCAATTATGAATTTTCTTGATATCAAATCCTAAATTTATTGGGCTATTCATGAAGTTTAAGGATTAATTTTATAAAAAGTAGTCTGTACAACGGGTTCTATTCGTATATCTGGATAATTTGTATTACACTCTCGATCCCTTGACGATACGAATTATCGAGATTTTATTGTATAACTACTTATGAACACAGGGAGATCTACGGAGGAAAGGAGGCTTTCGGGTTGAAGACTCCCCCACAAAAAAAAAAATTAAAATATAATAATATTTTATGAAAAAAAATTATTTCTAAAAGTATTATTGTTAGTCTAATCACGTTTAATAGGACTTAAAGAATCACTTAAACACCATTTCATATAGGTAGTTAGATTCTTTCTTTCTTCCGAAGTAATTATTCTGATAAATACATACAAGCAATAATCTTTCGGGCTAAAACCCCCCTCCCAAAATCAAATCCTGGATCCGTCAGTGCTTATGAATAATAAACCATTTTGTAATAATTTGCAATACTTCTATGTTATTCTTTAATTAAATTTAATATCGAAATGGTGAAAGAGATATCGTGGCGATGACATAACAACTCCTCAAACAGACAATTTTCACGTTTGGAATTCCTGGAGGCAGGTAGGAATGCTAAGCGGTTTGTGATGCAGTACTCTCTCCCGCGACCCGTCGGATATCCACTCTCCATTTCCATCGTCGACGGCGCTGCCTCCCATTGTCGGCCTTCGGCAGCGGGATATCTCCAGGGCGTCAAAGGACCATCGGGGACTTTCCAACTCTCTTAGTGACCTATTGTCTTACTGGTATAATTTCATAAATAGCTAGTTAACAAATTGAAATTTTTCAAAAAAAAATATCGACCATCCGGTAAAATTTTGTAAAAAAGTTTTATATTGAATCGCCATAAATGAGGTAAAAAAATCTGGTGCGCGCAACACACAACTTTCACTAACCGCTCTACTTTGAATAGAAATTATTTTCTGGTAATATTGGACTATTATAAAATTTTTTGAAGTACATTTTAAACGGAGCTAAAGCTTAAAGCTTACAGATAACAAGTCATTAAGACCATTATAATTAAAAAATGTCTATTTAATATATCAACTGTAGGAAATAAGAATCTAGTCACTCCATCTGCTTTTATAAACCACATAACTTTTTTTGCTTTTATGAACTTCAGAATAACTAACTACAATTTCAACATTTTTGAGTAATGTTATTGGTTGAAAAATGTATCTATACAGACAATGAGCAAGTTGATTCCGGAGGTGGTGATTGCAGTGTTGAAATATAGAACTGAGAACAAAGGTATAAATTTAGGTACTTATTTCTTATGAAAGATGTTCTGAGGTAAGATACTTTATTAAATATCTGTAGAAAAAAGTTTTTTTTAATCTCAACAATTAAAAAAGTATATTTTAAATTTATCCAAATTTTCGCCTCTTCAGTGAAAAAAAACTAGAGACCATATCTTTGCTCCTAATTGTCCGATTTTTTTAAAGGAAATTCTGTAAACTTTTAAAAACCATTGAATTATTATTGAAAATAATAAACCAAAAATATTTAAAATGGGGATATCTCTACTAATAGTGCTGTAATTTCGATGAAAGATCTTTCATCTTTTAGGAAATTTAAATACCTTATAAACACATTATCACATTATCGACAAAAAAAGTGTATACTTTCTGAGTTATTCGGAATTTAATTTTACCATCCCTCGCAACTTTTTTCCCAGCTTCTTTTCGTTGAAGTATGTTATATAGATAAGTTTATGCTTTGGAGGAAGACATATATGAACATTGGGCATTTAAGCCCTGTAAAGTTACATCAACGGGTATAAGACCTAAATGATATTAAAGACCACTTAATTATACAATGATACACCGAGTTTAATGAAAATTGTTAAAGCCGTTTTTGAGAAAATTGTGAAAATGTGTTTCAGCGTTCATATAAAGTGGCACTTCCGGTTAGCAGATTTTAACGAAAAAGTTGCAGTCACATCCGGCCCATATACAAACCTTAAATACTTAATATCAGTTTCGTACTACTTTTCGTTTATGAGCTAGACTGTTAACACACACACAGACCATTTTGCGACACTTGGTTATTTGGACTCTGGGGACTTCAAAACATGTATTCCCGTTGAAAACTGAGATTCGAAAATTTTCACGATCGCAATACTTACCCTTACTATATATTACATATATACGTAAGTGAAAGTAAAAATTAAAATCTATAATAAATAAGCTAGATGAATGAATAAAATGTGTAAACTAAAATAAATTAAGTAAAGTTGACTAGCTGGCTAGACTAGAGTCGCTAGTAGTAGATATATAACTATTTTATTGATACATAAATGTTACTTTTATTTAAATTTTCATTTATATTCAAAGATAATAATATTTATCAACATATCTTAGAATTTTATGAATCAATCATTCATCACTTTTCACGTGAAATTCTTATCATATTTTCCTCAACAAAGTAGCCGGAGTGTGAAAAACGTTTTATATTTTTTTGAGATTGTACGCACTAAAAAATCAAGGATATTTTCACTTTTTTACACTATTCATCTTTAGCTAAAATAGCGTACTAACACTATGATGTCTGTCTCCTCTATGTTTAATCTAAACAAATACGTTATATATTCAATCGTATTTTTTAAAGATATTTTCAAGTAAATATGATAAGCAAAACAAAAAAAAATGTCCTCACAACTATTCAAATATAATATATTTAAATCATAATTAACAATTTAATATTTATATTTATATATTATAAAAAATCAATTTTAAATATTCAATATCATATTTATTCGTTTCACAATAATTATGTTGAATTTTTACACATGATAAAAACTCCCACCATTTTGATTTTCGGGCAATCAAAATCGAAATTATGCATGCATATCAAACCTTTATTTTAACATCATAAATGTTTTAGATATAACACGTTTCATCGATATAAGTTTCGATAAGTATAATCGATATAATCGATACTCACTCATCGGCAGGACTGATGACCAGGATGTTCGGAGACAATGCAGCCAACAGCAGCCCGAACGGAAGGACGATCGCCACGAACCTCAGCACGTTCTTCCACTTGCTTCCGGAGTCCCTGCAAAAACATATATGTATTCCTATATAGATAGGAGTCTCAACATATAAAACATAAACTCAACATAAAAAGTGAAATAAACCGGAGAGGAATTAATTCGAAATATATATATATATATTCCGAATTAATTCCTCTCCGGTTTACTTCACTTTTTATGTTGAGTTTATGTATAGTTTATATATATACATATATATATATATATATATATATATATATATATATATATATATATATATATATATATGTTTTTATAAAATAAAATAAAAACCTAAGCTCTTCATACATATTTCTCTATTATAAGTTATATTTTCCTTAATTATTTTGTCTTGGGACAGATTAAAGGTTAATCAATCAGAAAATTGTGCGCTTGTGGCATGTTTCATATTTAAAAGGATTTGTGTCATTTTAGCGCACTTTATCATTCATTTATAATAATAATAATAAATAATAATAATAATAAGGCTTAGCGAACCCGAAGGTTCGATGCCGACACCACCAATCGCTTGTTACACACCTCCCTCCACCGTTCGCCGTCCAAACCCAGTCCCTTCAGATCGGCTTTAATGCAATCTTCCCACCTTCGCTTCGGTCTACCCCTCGAACGCTTACCATTCGGCACAGCAAATATTAACCTTTTAGGAATTCTCTCGTTACTAAGCCCAACAACTTTACAAGCCCATTTGATTCGCCGCGATGAAATTACCTCAATTATATTACCCGGATACAGCTCACGCAATTCGTCGTTGGGTAACCGTCTGAACTCTCCGGTTAACTCATCCTTCTTCGGTACGAATATTCTACGCAATACTTTATTTTCAAAAACCTTTATATCATTCATTTATATTTTTATTATTTTATTTTAGTGTTGGTATTATTTTAGTATTTAAAAAATGTTGGTAAAATCTCGGTGACTTTTTGCAATCGACGATATTTATGTTAATTTATATCGATGGTTTAAAAATGTGTTATTTCTGTTTAGCCATTAATAAATAACTATAATAATTATTATTATAAAATATTTTATATTTATAATAGAAAAAAAATGTATATTTATATCTTGAAAGAAATATTTTATTCTACTTAAAGAAACACAATTGTACCATAAAATACCTATAAGAATAATAATTAATGCAATACATGAAAAGAAACAAAAAATTACCTATAGACCATATTACTTATTAAAATATATATTGAATATAACTAACTATATGCAGTTATATTTAATATATATTTTAATAAGTGATATGGTCTATAGATAATTTATTGTACTTAATGCTTATCTCGTGAAATTTTATAGGATTTTGAAAACAGTTAAATAAATGTATGTTTTTTTTTATATTAGATTTTTGAACGTTTTATAATTTGTTTCCGAATTTAATTTATCAGAATGCGGTAAGAGAAAAGAGAACTCCCTCCTCTCCTCCCCCAAAAAAAAAATCTAGAAACCAACTGAATTCCTCTAAGAATTTCTCCTCCTCTCTTTCAAAGATATTGAAACAGAAAAATGTCTATTTTTTTATATATTTTTTTATTATAGAACTTTTTTATTGAAAAATATTACAATCTGTCTCAAAGGACAGGAAAGGACAGCGACCATCAGGAACGCCAGTTGCTAGAATAATTTTTTTTTTTTAAATACAAAACTTATTAAAATAATAAAGTTTGTCCTAAAAAAATATTTAATGAAAGAAATTTCAAATATAACGTAATATAAAATAGCTTAAGAAATAAACTTAATTTTTTAGGGGGAGGGATGACGTCATTGCCCGGGAACGCCCAATGTCAAAGGCCAGTACTGCATATAAAAACCTTAAATATGCAATTTCACTTTCGTACGACTTTTCGTTTTTGAGCTAGACTGTTAACATACACACACACACGCACAGACAGACATACACACACAGCCATACACACATAGACCATTTTGCGGGACTCTTTATTTCGGTCCAAGAGGTCAGTCAAAACGTGTATTTACGTTGAAAACTAGCATTCTAAAATTTTCAAAATCGCAATAATTCCTCTCACTATGTATTTCATATGCAGGGTGTCCCGTAAGTATAAAAAAATATTTAAAAGGCTGATAGTAGACATCAAGATCTACAAAGAAGTTTATGTAAACAACGGCCCAATTCTCACCATGAAATTAGGAAATTCAAGATTTTTAATTTGTAATCTTTATTTACGTTTTCGTGAAAATAATTGAAGCAATCAGCAGGTTTTTTCATCTTAAATTCTTTATGTTAGGATTGGAAACATTTAGTTGGTCGCTTATAAATACGCATCAATATTTATAATAGAGATTTTAGTGAAAAGAAAAAAAAGCACAGTTTCATTATAACTTTAGAGGATAAATATTTTTAAAAAAACATTAATTTTAACATTTTTTTAATAAATAAAAAGTTTACTTTACAGTAAAAGTTTACAGAGATTATGTTGAAATTCCAGTCTGACTTTTGAATAATCTATTAAGGTTGAAAACTTTTACCAAAATAAAAAATTAAGGAGCTTATATTTTTCTTCCAATTTAGACAATCGCTAATGGCCTATCAAAAGATCGATTAACTTGTAATTTCCGTTACACTAATCTCCCCAACTAGAATCCGGCGGAAGAAGACCCATTTCCGGGCAAATCGGAAAGAATTAGGAGAAAGCGGAAGATGGCCGCTGAGGAGAAGAAATTAATCTTTTTCCGTCGGCCGGAGCCGCTGGAGTCCGGAATGGCCGAAAGAGAAACCGAGGCGCACTCTCGTTTTCGCGAACGGAATCCAGCCGGTGTCGGTTTCACTGGCAGGTGTGGCCAGGTGTCTACCTGTACCGGTACCGAGCGCAACGCAGTGGCGTATTTGACCCAAAACTAGTTACCCTCCATTATGTGTCTTAAATTATTGGCAGTGGTATTTATGTTAAATACGAAATTATTTCCTCTCCTGTTTAATACGTCATTCGAACACGCCATTAGGGAGGTAATGCGTACCGATAAAGGGTGAATCTGGGTAGGATAACACCCGTGTTTGGTTATGCGGATGACCTGGTCCTGCTAAGTGAAGACACGAAAACTATAAAACTAAATACGACAACATTAACGAAAGACGGTAAAGAGCTAGACCTCGATTTTTTTTGATTTTTTTTTAATGAAATCTACAACTGTATTACATTAAAAATACAACAAGTAAATGTAACATTGGTAACATGACACGTACAACATGAAGAGAAACTACCCATTGGTAGAACTCAAATTAAAGTTCTATATTAGAAGGTCCCTAGGCCATCTTCTTTTCAGAAACCTCCGAGAGTTATCAGGGATCGAGGAGGAAGCAAGGTTTGAAACGAGAGGGTTCGGATGGTTCTGCAGTTTGTTATGGAAGGATAGGTATCTGGTTTGGGCCAAATCGGAAACATATGGAACATTAAGGTCTTTATGGATGATTTTATTTGTGACATAGTAAGGAGCGTTGAGGATTTTACGAAGGATTTTGGATTGTAAGGATTGGATACGAGAGAAATTCGATAGTTTAGTGGAGCCCCAAAGCTCAATTCCCTAAGTCCAAATAGGTCTTATTATTGTCATATATATGAGTCGTGTGTAATTGATTGAAGGGTTAGAGTGTTTGTCTAGTAAGTGTTGGAGTAGTCGGAAACGTCGAACGGTTTCTTGTCGTTACAGTCTTGTATGAGGATTCCATGTGAGTCGTTTGTCGAGGTGGAGTCCTAGGTATCGAATTTTTCCAACAGAGAAAAGTGGGGAATAGGCCTCGAAATAAACCCGGATAGGAAAAAATAAATAGTCAGCTACATAAATGGCGATAATTCCGGTGATATCGAAAAGAAGATAATACATTTGAATACGTAGAGAAGTTAAATATCTAGAGTCAGATAACTAGAAAAAAAAACTAAATTGAGGAGGAGATTAAGGTTAGGGGACAATGCTTGTCGGAACTTGAACATTAGAATTTATAGAACCATTATCTTACCTACGGTTCTTTATGGATTCGAAACACGTGGCCGCTTACATCAAGGGATGAGGAATGTCTTAAGGTTTTTGAAAATAAAGTGTTGTGTGTAATATTCGGACTGAAGAAGGATGAGTTAATCGGAGAGTTGAGACGGTTCCACAACACCGACTTGCGTGAATTGTATCTAATTAATAATGCATTTTATTAAAGATATATTTAAATTGCATGGACAATAATTGTTTCTAAACAATAGTGTTATGAGGAGTGAGCAACAAAGTTTGTACAGCCTTTGTAATTTAAATGAAATATAGAATATAGAATAAAAAAATATTTTAAGAAAAAAATCATAAACTGCAATGGACATCTATAGACATACTCAATGGCAAAGATTGTAGCAGTTTATATATGTATTATATATATACTTATAAATATATAATGTTTTTAATTCAGCAATACAACACATAGCATTATTCAGTTATATGTAAAAAAAAACAAAATCAAGTATAATATTAAGGTTATGCAACAGAAATTATTTATTTCTTATTTTTTAACAAATTAAAGTTTATTTAGACTTTATGTATCAGATATTTTTAAGTTGTTTTAAATAACAAAAGGCTGTGTAATATTTCCAAATTTCATTGTTTTTATTTATTTTATTATTATTAATTCTTTTAATTGTAAGTATTTTAGGGCAAATCCGGGCAGACCATTCTATACCATTGCAAATAAAAAAAAATTTTTATTTAAAAAAAATTTATATGAAATAAAGCTTTCTTTCTATCTATCTATTGTATCCGGTTAATATAATTGAGGTAATTACATCACGGTGAATAAAATTGTTGGACTTAGTAACAAAAGAATTCCTAAAAGGTTAATATTTGCTGTGCCGACTGGTAAACGTACAAGGGGTGGACCGAAGCGAAGGTGGGAAGATAGCGTCGAAGCCGATCTGATGAGACTGGGTTTGGACGGCGACCAATGTAGGAAGGCGTGTAGACAGCGATCGGTAGTGTCGGCATCGAACCATGGAGTTCGCTAAGCCTTTGATTTTTTATTATTATTTCAGTGCCGACCTTTGATATTTCGCGCCCCCGGGCGATGAGGTGTGTCCGGGTGACGTTGACGGGATAACTGTTGTACGTCAGCGACTCAAGATTTTACCTTTTCGAATTTTCCATTTATATCCTTATTATTTTATAGTCCGTGATATAGACCCCTTTTTATAAAATTAGTAACATCCGCCTGAGATTTAGTAAATAGCTTCATCTCATCGTAACCTACAAGATCCCTATGGACTTTCAGAGGAGACTAATGGATCATGGACACTATGTTAATTGGTTTAAAACTTGGTATATACAAGAATAAACATTGAATATTTAATAGTTGACCGTTGCATTATAATGAAAGGAGATGCGGTCATAAATAGGCTAAATAGTGGTAAAACTATTTTATTGAAAGCCGACGTTTCGACCCGACTTTGCAGGTCTTCTTCAGAGCTAGAACGGATAAGATACAAAAAGACAGAGAATTGTGGCAGTTACATAATATTTAGACATAATTTATAAACAATATGAATAAGCTTATTAAAATTATAAACAGTAAGTACAATAAAATATGAACAAATTAAGCTGAATAACAAGATCCTAAACTGAAGTAAATAAATGCTAACAATTGTTTTAGTGTAATATATAATAAATGAAAATATGAATATACTTCTACAAATCTACTGGAGAGATTGAAAGAAAAGGAAAAATGATATTAAATCTAATCTTGGTTTCCTTTTTTTCTTTTCTTTCTCCACATTCCTTTATGTCTATTATTTCATATTATATCCTTTTTCTTTTTCTTTTTCCTGTCAACACCATGACAGGTGCGGATAAATAATTAAAGAGAAAAAAAAAATTAAATTTTTATTTTTATGGTTTTCGCTATTTTGCAAATTCAACATTAAATATTACTAACTATCTAAATAGCGGGGGGCCTGTTAGATAGTTAATAATATTTAATTGACTCTTGATTTTTTTTTTTTTTTTTTTTTGCGAACCCTGCCGTCTCCACTGAGCATCCGGCAAGTTTGTTGCGGAAAAGATTTTTCTAAATTAAAGACCGTAACAAAATCGTTGTGGAAAACTCAAGCTGGCCGGAGAAAATACAAAGGGAAAGTCTTTATTATCCTTTATTCCTCTCATCCTTAATAAGGACCAACATTTCCCCGATGGAAGTAGCTCATTTGCTACCATGACGACGGAATCCCACTCTCCAGTAGAGAGGGGCCTTTTGTCCGTTCATCTTAATGGGAATTTACAGCTGCCATCTTTCAAAATTAATTAAAGCCAATAAAATAATTAAGGGCAAGTTTATGAATAGGAAATTTAATGAAAAATAAATAAAAACATTGAGATAAATTTTATGAATGGGAGGTTTCATGAAAGATAAATAAAATCATTGAGATAAAGTTTATGAATAGGAGATGTAATCAAAACTTTCTTGATAATGAAAAATTAGTTTCGGTCCTTATCAACATCTATGTTTTATATATATATTACGGTAGTATATATCTGTGGATGGATTTTAATAAATGAAGTATTATAGTATTATAATCAATTTCAAATAAGAAAGCCATACTTTACGTTTCAATGAAAGTCTTGGAACAAATCGAGAGATTTAAAAAAAATGAATGGTTTCAAAAGTTATAATTCAAGCCGGTATACAGTCGCGGGCATAGAAATTACATCGCCCAAAAAAAATATTATTAAATCTTATTTTATCCACAAGATTGCTATTACAAGATCTCCGAACATTTCTTTGGCAGTTATGAAACGATATTCTAAAACAACAGTCCGTGGTGCAGACCCCTTTTTATCGAATTATTAACACCCGCCTGAAACTTCGTAAATAGTTTCATCCCATCGTAACCTACAACTATTTTATTTACAAAAACTCTTAGAATTTTCAATCTGGAGGCGGGCAAACTTTGTCTATCTAATTAGGTACTAAAAACTCGTAAATATACGTTTGCTTTCTACTTGGAGTGTAAGATAATTTTATCACAAAGTCGAGAAATATTGATCCGTTCAGCGTGACCTACTCTCCCAGATTTTCAAAATAACGAGGTTATATATGACAAACGGCAAAATATTTTTGTAGGCCATCTTTTGTATCGATTTTTTGATCAATTTATCTTACGATCCAAGAAAAAAAACAAATGGGTATTTCCGGGTTTTTAGTATCTAATTAAATAGACAAAATATGACTCCCTCCAGATTGAAAACGCACCAATTCCAAGAGTTTTAATAAATAAAATAGTTGTAGGTTACGATGAGATGAATCTGTTTCTGAAGTTTCAGGTGGATGTTAAGAATTCGATGAAAAGGGTTCTGTACCACGGACTACAATGGCGCCATCAAACGGTCAATTTGTTCCTTTTTTTTTTCACCTCCGAGTTCCTTTCTATCGCTCAATGGTGCTTTTTTTAACTTTTTTTCCAAACCAATCAAAGTGGCACCCCCGCCAAGCAAGTTGCGCTTTACCCACTTCCATAATGAACAAATAGAGTACTCACTTTCCGTGCTCGGAGAGGTACTGGTTGTAGGCCGCCGGAGTTCCCTCGGCGCCGACCGGAGGGTACGCCAGGCTGTAGTGGTTCACTTCCCCGTTGTCTTCCTGGATCGGCTTCTCTGCCCCGAAGCTGGGCTCGAACTGGTACGGCGGCGGGCTCTGGACAAAGTGGTTTCAACGGTTAATAGTAGCCAGTGTGCTTATCAGTTATAAACATGGGTCGAGGAATGGATGAAGGAGGCCTGGTTCGGGTTTGGAATCAAGGAAGCATGGGCCAGCTGGTGATAAGCAGCCATGTTTGTTCGCAGCCAAGGCTGGGTTTTGGTGTAGTCATAATTTGCTGCGAGTGGCATAACCATGGTATGCCCCTGATGCATTTTAACCATGGTATGCAGCACTTTTGTATTGCGAGTTGCATAACCATGGTATGCCTCACCTGTATATTGTGAGTTGCATAACCATGGTTATCATGGTATACTCCATATCATCCACCATGGTATACCTCACTAGCGGATCCAGGATTTAATTTTGGGGGGCTTCAGCCCGAAAGATTTTTTTTTTTCATAAATCTTCAGAAAAGTAATTTGAAAAAAAAAAGAAAGAAATTAACTATCTATATGACATGGTGTTTAAGTGGTTCCTGATGTCCTATTAAATGTAATTGAACGAACAAGTATACTTTAAGAGATAGTTTTTAATATTCTTTTCTGTAAAATATGGTTATATTTTATCATTTGGGGGGGGGAGTTCAGCCCGAAAGCCTCGTAGATCCGCCTGTGGTATACCTCACCTTTATATTGTTAATTGCATAACCCTACATTTGTATTGCGAGTTACACAACCATGGTATACCATCTCTCTTGTGTTAGAAAATGATACCGAAGGGCTTCTCCACTTTTCTGAGAAGTATAGCACTTCCTGGCCATCTACATGTTTTGGATTTCGTACAAGTTTTATAAATTGATTATTATAACTTAATAATATGATGACAGTTATCACCTTGACCGGCTTCAAGAGATTCTTGATGTTCTCATATCCTTCGTAGTACGGTTGCTTTGGCTTCCTGTCCGGATACCCGCTATATTCGACTTGGTTCGGGTAGTGGCCACCAATAGGGCCAGTAATCGGCCGGCCTCCGTCCGGTTTGGAAGGGATCTCTTCCGGATTGCCGTATCCTGTCGGTACCGTGAGATCTACGTCCGGACTGCCGTACGGCCGCCCCGAGTTGTCGTACTCTGGCCGATCGTAGTCGTTCTCGGCAGGTCCGACGTGTATCTCCACACTCGGTCGCTGGTACTCCCTGTAGGTGTCCCGCGGATGAGCGTACTCCTGCACCGGCCGGTTCGACGGGAAGGCCAGCGTCTTTTGCCTTGGAGTGGCTGCTGGAGGTGCAATGCTGTCCTGGAAAACTTCCCCGATTACAAGAGAGCCAGGCTGACTTCGCTCCGGGATGACCCCGAGGAACGGACTGGGGGAGAACTGGGCGGTCGTAGACAGAGGTTTCTCGAAGGTCTCGTTGGAAGCGACCGAAACACCTGTAGTAAGATAAAGAAATAGGTAAATAAATACCATTACTATATTTTGACAACAGTTATGATAGAAAAAATAAAAATACGGTTAGAAAATTTTATATATATATATATATATATATATATATATATATATAGATGTAACTGTATAGTTTTACCTGGAAGTAGCCTTGAGGTGCTCTCAGCAGGCGGGGTGCAGTTAGCAGCGGTGCAAGGTACTAAGGTCGCTCTCGATTCTGCGCAGGTCGCATTGGTACTGGTATTGGTACTAGCACCAGTACTGGTACTATTGCCATTCGGGCATTGCGCTACCACTCCTCTACTGCACCATAGCGCGGTCATCAGGCACAACACTACCTGAAAGCACAGCTTGTCTTCAATATCCATGGTGAAGTATTTGTATTTATAATTTTTATCTTAATACTGTTATAATTAAAAGAAGGAGTTCATCGGGGGAAGGGGGAGAGGGTGCGGTCAAATTAATACAAAATTAAACAAGTAGAATTATTTAATTTTTGCCGACGTTTCGACCAACTTTGCAGGTCTTCATCAGGGCTACAAAAGATACAAAACATGGTAAAAATAAAATAAATGAATATAAGTAGATATAAAATAAGAATAAGTTGTCTGATACAGAAATTTCTTATTTTATATGTACTTATATTCATTTATTTTATTTTCACCATGTTTTGTATCTTTTGTAGCCCTGATGAAGACCTGCAAAGTAGGTCGCGAAACGTCGGCAAAAATTAAATAACTCTACTTGTTTAATTTTGTATTAATTTGACCGCACCCCCCGATCAACTCCTTCTCATACTATATCAACGGTCAACCATCTCTACATTATTATAATTTATGATTTTTTCCTATTATTCAGGTGAGCAGTTGTGATGCTTCTTTCTTTTAACTCCCAGCACATTTTTGATTTTCTTGATGTAATCTGCTGGCTTTTATTCATTGTGCATACTTATATATATATATATATATATTATATATAGTATATATATATTATATATATATATATATATATATATTGCTTTAGATATATATTTTATTTTTTACTTTTCCTAGTGATGCAAGGATAGTCGAATCATAGAAGAGTAATTTCTAATTTAAAAACAATATAGAGAGCGTAAATGATTTTTTTAAATCAATTTATCAAAAATATCGATGATAATAATAGTAATCAATTTATCAATAAGCATTATCGAACCTAAACTCTAAAATATCCCCATATATATTATTATAGTAAGGTTCAAAATCGGTTTTGGACCAAATATAAGCTCCTGTCATGCTCAAATACCATGAATTGTTTGAACCATGAATTATTGAATACCATGGTACCGTTGCATTCAGCATTTCACGGGGGGTTAGCGAATCGAATTCTCCGCTTTTGTTTTTCTTTCTAAAATAAATAAAGTCGATACAAACATTCTTCTAGGCTTCGATACTGGAACGGTGGTAGGTCTGCAGATCGATGCGGGACAAATTGGATCTTGAAGATTTCGATGCGTGCAGCAAGACCCGGATAGTTTCTCCGGAACTATCGGATCCTGCGTTTTTATGCCCAAAAAAGTACTATTTCCGAGATAACGCAAGGCATGGGGTTCGCATCCACACAACCTTGCATTAATTGTAGTACTGTCATTGGATACATGTCTCATTTCGTCGACTTGAGGTCTCTATGATCGGGAAGGAGGAGTTTATATTATTTATCGATGGTGTTTTTGATTGGGAAGCCATATCGTCGTTAATTTTTCACCAAATCTCAAGATTGAGCCACCATTTTCGAAGGATTCCTTCTCCTTCAGGCGGGCAAAATAGTCCAATCATCCCGAAAATTCAGGCAAAAAAGTTTAAAAAGAAAACCAACTTTATTTGCGAATAACTAAAAAATTATACACTTTTCCCTTGGTTATGCCCGTGATTATATAAAAGATTACTATATTCCTTACAAAAGATTAAAAAATTAATCGAAGTCGGACAATTTTTAGCAAAGATACAGCTTATTGAAATTTGTTGGTTCCAAACAAAAATGAAGATTTAAATTAATTTTGTTTCCTTTGACGATTATATTTATCGATAAATTGATTCCTTTATCTTTTGATAGGTTGCATTATTTTATTTTCTGATTAATTTGGCATTTGATAACAATATGATGTGCGAATTTTTCGCACGGGCCTACTAGTAATTAAAATAAAACATTTTAATACATATTAATTTTCTATAACTTTTGTAATGTTTTATATATTTTGTAAAAAGTTTTTTTTTTTCTCTTATCTTATTTTATTTATTCGATATAATTAATAGTATTTAATATATTAGTATTATATTATTTTTTGTTTTTACCAAGTAGCCTAAATGAAAAGAAGATTGTGTATTGCGGGTACTGTAGCAACCCAGCGCCGTGCTCCGTCAGAGTTTTACAATCTTATCTTATCGGGTCAAGAGAAATGTAGACCCAATTTACAAGTGGCCTAAATAATGGGACGTATTGAATTATCCAAAAAGAAGTGTCAGCGAGATCGCACTTAACACATATTTGTCTATATGACGAATAATCGTCAATTCTCAAACAAACACCAACAGCCAAATGACGATAATTCGCCATTTGTGTATTACATAAAATAATTGATTCTTGCTAATCTAACACTATTTGGGCCAAACCTCAATAGCTAAATTGTACTTAAGGAAATATATTATCTATTTAATTGAATCTTGTTCTGTTAATTTTAAATAAATTAAATTCTATTTTTTTATCAGAGATATATCTCTTTCATTTTGTTGAATGGCAGTGCATTGCAAACTGGATGAATATGTGTTAACTTATTTGGGAGTAGGAAACAATTTAGGAGATTTCTATTGAAAGTTAATATGCTTTTGATCTAAAAAAAAAAAAAAAGAGAAAAGATTTTTTTGATAAATAAAAGTTTACTCCGGATATAATTTAATTTATTTCAATAATTATTTCTTCTTTCTATAAAATTGGTAAACCATTAATACAAAATTGACTTATTTACATAAGATACCACCTAATAATTTTCTAAAAATGGCTAAAACACTAACGGCGGATAACATTTTGTAATCCCTTTAACAATATTGATTAAAATCAAACAAAACATAATTAAAAAACACTCCAAAAAGATATAAAACAAAATAATCTGGTGCGGTGCGCGCATCACACGACTTTTACTAGCCACCCTCTTCTTAGCAGAAATAAGTATTTTCAGACAAAGGGAAAGTAAAAGAAAAATTATAAACGCTATATATTGATTTATATTTAATTGTGGGTATTTTTATTTGTAGAAGTAGCGTTGTATATACAAATTTTAATATTTATATCGCTTTAATCTATATAATTAAATATTAAATAATAGCAACAATATTTATTTATTATATGAATTTGCCTCCAGCCGATATTGGTCTTTCTTCACTCCAGTTTCCTATATTCTATTGTAGAATCCCGTTTTTTTTAAAAGTCATCTGAATTTCCATATCTTTCTCGGTATCTTGTAATATTTCCTGGAGAGTACTGTGTAGGTTGAGGTTTTTTCTTGTGGCTGCGCAGTGTTCACAATCCACGAGTATATGGCTCATGGTTCTAGGGGAACCATCTCTGACGCAGGTAGGTCGTGAAAATGCAGTGTCCAATTCGGAGGCGGCACAGAATTATTTCCTCTTTTCTTGATTTCCTGTTACTAGTGCATCACTTACTCTCTCCTGGAAACCACACATCTCCCAAATTTCCCGTCGTACTATCTCTACCCTGAAACAGTTTAACCATCTCCGCTATCTCCTTCCATATAAATCCCGTCAACTCCTGGTTTCCTCCCTTGAGTTCCCCCACTTCGACTATGGCTGTCTGGTGTACGGCGGACTCTCGGGAGAATTCTAGGCCAAACTTAGAATACGTTTTGTTTTCGGAATCTCAAGAGATACGCTTATAACCCAGTATTACACCAAGTTGAAGTGGCTCTATCCATCCAACCACCGTCTGTACTTCCTTGCTACCTTTCTATAACAAGCCATCAGAACTCAGCGACCTTCCTATATTTTTCACAGCCTACAATTTAAATATTCCATTCAATCCCGTCCCACCAGATCCCGTACTTCTGACCTCTATCCACCTCCTCACGGAATTGCTGCGTTTGACAAATTCTTTATAATTCAAGCTGTCTCCACCTGGAATACCATCCCTCCCGATATCCGACATGCGCAATTAGTTTCCTCATTCAAATCTCTTATTTTTAAACACCTACTTCTATCCCAACCCGATTGATCATGAAAAGTAGATTCCAGTATTTTTATTTTGATGAGCATTGTAAATATTTAATTTAATTTTATGGCCAAACAGGCATTTTCTCTGTATTTATAATTTGTCCTAAAGGGACAAAAGTCCCAGGATAATAATAACCTATTTTCATTTTATCATTTAGCACTGTTTGCTTTTATTTGGACAAGTTTGGAGGGGTTTCTTCTCCAGGTCTCATTCCATTGAGCTATTATCTGGGATTTTGCTTGCCTCACCCAGTCCTCTCGAGGAACATAATTAATGGATTTTACCTCATTATTGTCATTAGTTCGGGCTATTTCGGATGCGACATCTGCCTTTTTGTTGCCCTATATACCACAATGAGACGGAGTCCAAATGAAATCTGTTTTATTTCCTGCTCTTTTACCGATCCATATAAGTTCCAAAATTTCAATTATCGTCCCGTGTTTCGATATTTGGTTTCTAATTGCCAGAAATACACTCATTGAATCAGATATAATGACGGTCTTTTGGTGGTTGCTTGCTTGACTATGTTGAAAGGCTACCTTTACGGCAGTTGCCTCTCCCGTAAAGATTGAGCAGGCTTCAGGCAATATGTGAAGAAAAGTTTCATTTCTTTTGACTACTAGCAGATCCAAGATTTAATTTTTGGGGGGGGAGCTTCAGCCCGAAAGATTTTTTTTCATATATATAACGATAATTATTTAGAAAAAAAAGAGAAAGAAATGAACTACCTATATGAAATGGTGTTTAAGTGATTTTTGAAGTCCTATTAAATGTAATTACACGAACAATAATACTTTAAGAGATGATTTTTAATATTTATTTTCTATAAAACATGGTTATATTTTACCAGTTTGGGGGGGAGGGGCTTCAGCCCGAAAGATTTTTTTTCATATATATAACGATAATTATTTAGAAAAAAAGAGAAAGAAATGAACTACCTATATGAAATGGTGTTTAAGTGATTTTTGATGTCCTATTAAATGTAATTACACGAACAATAATACTTTAAGAGATGGTTTTTAATATTTTTTTCTGTAAAACATGGTTATATTTTACCAGTTTGGGGAGAGAGGGACTT